AAAAAGTAAATACTTTGCACAAAGGGATTCATTTTACAATCTAAAATGACAAAAAAAAAAAATAAAAAAAATTGGTATTTGTTAACAGCAGGTAGAAGGAGATGTTTTTGAAAGCAAAAAATGGTTTCGTATTTCTTGGTCGAGGCTTGTGTATCTTCACAGGCTTGAAATGCCTTCTTCATTTGTACTCTGCAGTTGATGGCCTGCGAAATGGATATCATAACGACGAAGGCTCTGTCTCTAGTTGCCAATGAAGGTTCGATGAGATGGGGAGTGTTTTCCAGGGATTATTGTGGCCTGAAGAATCCCTACGCACAGAACTTATACAGACCGGCTCCAAAACTTGATTTAACTTGTCATCGAAAGAGGTGTGTTTCTGCACTTGCTCAATGTATATCTTTTCCTTTATCTAATATGTTTTTTTCTAAGTGCATATATGTGTTTTTGTTATTTGATCTTTGTGGTTAAGCCACTAGCGACTAAAGAGCAGAGTCGGTAGATTTCAGATAAAACATATTCATTATAATATGGTTATGTTTGGTAAAACTAGTTTATAATCTAGCTGATAGCTCATAAGCTAGCTTATAGCTTATACGTGATTTTCGAGCTTGTAGCTTTTTATGTGATAAAAGTGTTTGGTAAAATTAGCTGATAAGCTAGCTGGAATAAAAAATTTCAATGAGCTTATTTGAAAGCTCGAGCTTTTTAAAAAAACTCGTCCTACCAAACAAAGCTTATTTGAATACAGAAAGCTTATAAGCTAGCTTACTTGTCTACTAAACATAGCCTATATCCTTTTTTCAAGGGTATGATTGATAATTTTGTGCTTCAAATACAAATTTTTTTTAATCAAATCAAATAATTGTCTCTTCAGACGTGCGTGGCGACTATCATTTAGTCTCAACACCGAGGGATTGGCAGCAAATAACGAGCAAGACAACAACAACAACCCAGATGAGGATGCTTCTTCTTCAGGCTTATTAGGGGCGACCCGTTTGGGAAGGATAGTTACTGCAGGGGGTAAACAACTGCTCAGCAAACTAAACTCGACCCGTAAAAATTTCCCCATGAAAGTATTTCTATTGCTCTTGGGGTTTTACACGGCTAATGCGCTTGCTACGATTCTCGGGCAGACGGGGGATTGGGATGTTTTAGTTGCAGGCATTGTTGTTGCTGCTATCGAGGGTATTGGCATGTTAATGTATAAAAAGTCCCTCATGGCTGGACGACTGCAATCTCTTGTTGTGATGGTAAACTACTGGAAAGCTGGCGTGTGTTTGGGGTTGTTTGTTGATGCTTTTAAACTAGGCAGCTGAAAGTGAAACATGCTTTTTCTCCTTAGTCTTGTTGTATTTTGAAGTTAGATAGATGAGTCTTAGAGTAGTAGGTCTGCTAATTATTTTGACTGTGCAACTATTGTGTTGTCTGAGGCTATTGTGTAAATCCCTTTACATGGAATTTAAATCTTCAGGAAAATACAAGATGTGCAGTCATTTTGTGAATTTTTTTTGCTTCAAGAGTGATAAAGTTTCCTCTCCAAGTGACAATCGAGAACAGTCACATTCTTTGTAACCTAATAGTGTTACTTATGTACTGTATCATGGCTGGATTTTTTTTTTGGGCCCGAAATCGTTCGCATTAGTGTTTATGAGATTTATGATTTTCCCAAATTTCTTCGTCGTGCTACAACAATATTCGGCACATCCGACGAAATCATTATCAGAATCGCTGGTTTATGCTTTGGCTTGCCTTATTTTGCACGCAAGCACGCTTGCTTGCCTTATTTTGCACGCAAGCACGCTTGACAGATTCGAGTTTCTCATATCTGAATATTCATAGCGACGATTCCACTGATCAATGATCTGTCTTCCCCATTATTCGCACATCCCTGAATATTCATAGTGACGATTCCACTGATCAATGATCTGTCTTCCCCATTATTCGTACATCTGAGTGACAATCCCGGTGCGCTTATAGTTGCGAAGTTGTTTTCCAATGAGAATTACGTTTTCCAATGAGAATTACCATCTTTTTACCTG